ATAGAAATATTGTTGAAAAATAAACAGTTGGTATTTGAGGAGAGATAAAACGATTAGAATGAAAATAAAGAGTGAGGAATGAAAAATGTGTTGAGTCAGACGGTTAAGGGTTAGATTTTGGCCTTGCCACTTCGATATCCTTATTTTTCCATTCGTCAGATGACTTTTGATTAATAAAGAAAACAGGTAGGTAACCTCCAGCTCGGGGCCCCGTTGTTGATCGAGCAAACATAAACCGTGAGGTGAAATATACACAACTCAGGGAGGCCAGACACAGTGAAGCGCATTGTCCAGTACCACAAGGAGTCTAAAGTCATTAGCATATGTATATTTTAGCATGATTATGACCATGCATTTTCAATCCTGAAAAATAAAAATGTCCGTGGGCTAAAAACCTCTTCGAATCCCACGGCATTTCAGTTTTATCGCCCTTTAGCTGATTGTAATTGAATGAATTGACTCTAATCACTGCAACTCACTCCTTATTTATATTGCTTTGCAACAATGAGCAGAAAAATCCGGGAATTAGTATCTTGTTTCATTAAAAAATTAAGGGAAAAGGATTTAACGGCTTAATTAGTTGAATTCAAGTGATAAAAATTCACTTTAGTGATAATTAAGTTTCAGGCGGTGGAATCGAGTTTCAAGGAACTCCGTAACTGGCTGTTTGCTGGAAATTTTTTTACTTTTCTCATTTTCTTGGTTATTTCTCATTAGAGGGGGAAAATTAAGATGATATATTTAATATGCTACCTGGAACTTTCAATTTTTTTACGAGATTTCTTTTTTTTTGGCAGAACCTAGGGATTTCCTCGCAATTGGAAGTTGCAGGGAAAATTTTTTTTTTGATAATTTCGTTATTAATAAAATCACTGAATCGATCTGAAACGATGAAATTGAATAATTCCAGAAAACACTATAAATCATCGGAATTTCTACATTCCATTTTCATGACTCCACAGGAATTAATAAATCTAAAGAATTCAGGTAACCGTATTTTCTCAATTTTTTCTGCAATAAAAATTCAGGGAAATTTGATTACGATGAGAATTACAGATTAATGCAGTAATTATAATCCCTGGGCAGTCTAAAAATGAGTAATTCCTTCGAATCGATTCCCTCAAAAAACTCCATGTAATTAAAATAATAAAAAAAAGGGATTTAACAATTGAATCAATGAAATCGAACGAATAAAATTTACTCTAGCGACAATTAACATCCCTATGATGGACTGAAATTCCGTAAATATTTCACTCGGGGTGAAATTTTTCACAGCGATTATCTCGATTCCCGTCCACTTCACGAACAACTCAAAAGAAAAATAAAAAAATAAGAAACAAAAAGATCCTGCGTCCTCTCCCACCCACCCAACGTCATATTTATCCCACGATAGAAGCGAGAATAAAAATAATCATACGTGCAGGCATATCCTCCAATTCTCCATCACAATGTTCCGCGTTGAATAAAAGAAACTCTGACAATAATAAAACCAAAGGCCCCAAGAAAATAGGATAATAAGACGGCAGGGGTTTGTCGCACGACCGGCCTATTAGAAACGCCGAGGGCGGGTGTGCGATTACACCTTGGCGATGTTATACCTCGATGTGGCCACAGCATGTTTTCATCCTCTCTCTTCCTCCGGTAGATTTGCCCCCCCCCCCCCTTCCCCCTGTTCAGGTACCCAGTACCCACGTATACACAGAGGAGAAAGAGCCCCGGGGGTATTACTTCAAGCCGACACTACGACGATTGGACATCACCGAGAAGGAAGGAAGAAGTGGAAAAAAATGACAAAACAAAACGAAATTGAAAGAAAAAATAAAAATAATCGACAAAGACTTGAGAGAATTTGAAAAACAAAATGAAAAATAAATTCGAATGAAAAAAAAAAAAAATATTGTTGAGATGAGCGTATACCCCAGCAGTTTTATTTGTCTCAGGCATTGGTGTACCTTTTCCCAGTTACCCTCCCCTCTTACTGCCCCTTTTCGCCTCCTGCCTCCTCCTGCCTCCTCCTGCCTCCCCCTTCCTCCCCCTTCCTCCCCCTTCCTCCCCCCCAACAACCCCACTCATACACACATAAGTACATCCCACGTTTTCTACTCTCGTCACGCGACCCGCGTTTCTGCACGCACATTCTGCTCTCTCGCGTTATGCGCACATCGGGATAAAGATAACGGGATAAGTGAAAAATAAAAAATTGAGAAAAAAAAAGGGGGAAAAGAAGAAAAAAGAACGGCTAAGAGGGATTATGTTGAGTTTTGTTTGTTTCATTCTGGCATTTACTATGGCAGTTAAAGAGTGACATTTCTCGGGTGAGAAATAATGAAATTGCCTGGGAGACATTTACCAGGAAATCCGGTATGAGATATTGCTGTTGTTAATCCATTCATTACTCGTTCTGCTAATTATAAACAATTATTGGAGGGTGTAATTGATATTCCGTATTTTGAAGTCCCCCACTGTTTCCAATAATCAAAGAAAATACCGAAATTCCGGGATGAACCTGACGTCGGGAATTTTTTTCATAAAATTTATACCCTGAAGTAATAAAACGTGAGAGACCACGTGAAGAAAAAAAAAATAAAAATATGTGTGTAATAAGAATAATATGAGAACATGGTATCGGTTGCCCAGGAGGGGTTTGATGCACAGATAATCCCCCATTTGCCTTCTTTTTTTCATCGTTCTATCCCTTTCCCACCCGCCTCGAGGGCTCCAAAACGAGAATACACCGAGGTGTACACCAATGCAAGACTGTTGCATCCTGGAGAGAAGAAGTACCCCGATATCCCTCTGCACAACCCCGCGTCGTCTTAAACTTTATGTCTCATACTTAGTTCCACGAGCCAAGACCAGTATACGTGGCGTATACGCACCCATCAAGTCAAGTACTTTATGCGGCATTTTCTTACCTCTTACTTTTCAACTCTCCTCAGTTACCCTTTCCCTCCACCCCATTTATCCCTCCCCCTGACGGACCTTGCACCTTGCACCTTACACCTTGTACGTCGCACTTTGCACCTTGCGTATTATTTTATTTCTCCTCCACATTTTTTTAACCTCTCCCCCTCTCCCCCTACCCCCCTCACCCCCTACCCACTGCCCCCTCTCCCTCACTTTCTATCGACCAATTTCTCGCGGAATCCCTCAATCCTGGTGTTTTTTTTTTGTCGTGGAGAATCAGAGAATGAGGGAATTATAATTGGAGGCAAATCGGACATTGAAAAATCGAGTGAAGAAAATAGAATTATGAATAACCCATTGCTTCTTTGGCGTGAGGGATCCTTTCATGAATTTTCATTCCATCGTCCTTTATTCTGTACCGTGTATTATCCATACCGTTAGTTTCCCGGGAAAATTCTTTAATCCAGAGACAGTCGATGGGTAAAATAACATGTAAGCCATCGGAGGCTATCCCACGGACTTAATTGCTCAGTGAAATATATGTATGCAATGTTGATGTTACGTGTAAAAGGACAAGTGCGTGCTCCTGTGACTGCATGAACGAGAGCCCGTTTTTTTTTTCATTGCTGTTGTTTTTTGTTGGCTTTTATTTCCTGCCCGTTGGGGATACACCTCTCTTCCTCTCGCGAGATGTATAAGGCAGATACGTACATGAAGAGGTGCCATTAAATTGTTCAAAACATTTTTGTCAAGAGTGAAAATACCCCAGCAAGGATAATTTCTTAATAATTTATATCACCATCATTTTCCCTCCTCACAATAAATAATACCAACCACTCCCAAAAATATTCCCTCGCTGTTACGTTAAATAACAACTCGCCGAATCTAAAATCGTCTCAAGCTGAAATTACAATCCCCCCAATTAACGGTAATTACAATAATTTGTTAAACATGTAATTTATCGAAAATATTCAAATATTTGGTGAGTTTAAAAAAATGATTTCCCTGACTCGAAGGAATTACGTGTAAAACGACAAGTGCGTGTTGCAGCTCTCCCCCGACGGTATTATTTTTATTTCTACCCCGAAGGTATATATACCTCTCCCTCTCTCGTTTCACAAGATGTATAAGATAGATACATACATGAGAAGGTGGCACATTGAATGGTTTTAAAATAAAAACCCAGGAAAAAAAAAAATGCAACACGAGGGAAAATTGGAATGCCGGGAATTAGGCTCCTACGGGGTTTATGCGTTTTAGCGCTTGCTGCGTTCTTTTGCATCGTTTTTCGTTATTCAAGGTATCAAACTCACCGAACCCCACCTCACCCTATTCGTTTGTACTTGAGGAAGGAGTATATGTTTATCTCTCGCGCTAAACCACGCGGAATTTACGCGGTGGACAACGCGCTTCAGAGATCCGATCGACTCTACGTATCTCTTTGCTTCTGGCTATTCAGTGTCGTAGAATCGCGCTTGGATCGTTTCTAATGTCGAGTTATGTGACTATTCCTTGAGTCAGATGGGGGGATTAAACTTTTGCGTTAGTAATGCGACACACCGGCCAACATTATTGCGCAATTTAACCATTAAAGGGACATTTTTCACACAGACGTGAATAATTTAACCCGGGATTATTAATTCTACGGGCGTGAAACAGAATTCGCCTCACAGAATAAAAAAAATATTAAATTATTAACTGCAGAGGTGCAACTCCTAACTCCTAACAACTCCTAACACAATTATTCCCTTCATGTCCCATTTGAAATTATTATTGGAAAGTATTACTTTCAGGGAGAAACATCAAAAGACCTTTTTCCTCGGAATTGATTTGTCTTACTCGGATACAGAAAAGTCCTTTAATGTTTATCGTTTGAATCTTCATTTTTTTAGATAAACCTAATGAACTAATGAGCTTTATGGATTGCGTCGTTGAATTTAATGGAATTCTTAGAATGCAGTGAATTGACAAATTTAATGTGAGAATATTTCCGGTTCTGCGATTCGTTTGCGACTGTTGAAGACACTTGAATATCTTTAAGACAGATAAACTAGACGAAAGAAATGTGGTAAAAAAGGAAATTGTCAATTTACCTGTATCCATTGCAACGAGCGTTAAAGTGTACTCGGGGACCATTTCTCTGTCGAGTGATCTCAGCAGAAAAACATCTCCCGTGCTGGCATTAATCCGAAACAGATCCGTGTCTCCCTCCTTCAAGAAATATCTGACCTGATCGTTGTACGGTGGTGTATCAGCGTCATACGCTTTAACCTGTTGACGAAAAAGACCGTTCCATCCATGAGAATAATTTAAAATGTTGAAATTATTAATTTGCCAAGTCATGAATTGAGTTGTATCACTTGGTCTCATACAAATGGCTTTTCATTGCGCGTTAACTTATGGAAAATTAGTTGAATGTGAATTCCAGACTCGAACATTATATACGATAAAGTGCGTTGCTTTACGAGTCGTATGTAAAGTGTTGGGGCATTCAGACTGATATTATTTTTTTTTATTTTCCACTCTTTTTCGTCTTTCCTCGCCCTTTTTACTCTTGGCGCTTTTTTTTCGGAGGTGAAGGCCACTTTCTACTGTCCCACCCACCCAGGTTGTCGCGTGTACATGCGAAGGGACATATCGAGCCAGAGGTTAAACAGCCAACGTAAAATCCGGGGATATTAACAGCAGAGGTACAAGATTTTAGTTTATCGCTGGATCGATGGGGTTCTCTTCTCGTGATAAATGTACACTTTTCGACACTTTTCGTTTTTTTAATGGGGCTTGCTGACTAGACTTAACTAGAATTAATGCTCTAGTCATGGAGTATCTCATAATGCTCTTCATGATATTTCATTGGGAAATGCCAATTAGTTCGATTTACAACACTAACAACAACAACCTTTTTCAAAAATATTACTAGAGCTATAAAAATTGTATTGACTGAGAACTGTTCCATTATAAAATGAATTTTGTCAAGTATTTTCTCACTCAATGCAATGACAAAAAAAGGATTGAACTGACCTGAATGACGAAGCCACCACCAGGTGGTACCATGTTCTCCATGACATGAGCAAGATAGGGTGAGTCCAAGAAGACCGGAGCATTATCATTGATATCAATGACACTGATGATAACTTCAGCGGTGTCTTCCCTGGAGCTCTCCCCTGCCTCTTCAGCGCAATCCTCAGCCTTGACGGTGAGTCTGTACCTCGATTTTCTCTCGTAGTTGAGATTTTTCGAGACCCTGATGACACCCGAGTCCTCGGAGATGGTGAAGTCACGATTTTCGTCGCCCATTGCGATGCTGTAGCGAACCCTGCCATTAGCTCCCTCGTCCCTGTCAGTGGCTGACACCTGGAGAACACTGGCACCGATGCTAGCGTTCTCCGCGACTGTTGACGAGTACTGTCTGGGATCGAATATCGGGGAATTGTCATTCTCGTCGAGAATACCAACAGTTATGATTACTGATGACGACTTTGGTGGTTCACCCCGGTCGCGCGCTGTTACCCTGAGGGTGTAGTTCTGTCTGCGCTCGCGGTCCAGGTGGCCTGACACCCGGAGGAGACCGTCAACAGCACCGAGATTGAACGGAACCGATGTGTCCTCCAGGGAGTATTCAACGTATCCGTTTCGACCCTCGTCCTTGTCCACTGCTTTTATTGCCATTACGATCGTGTTGGTTGGCGCGTTTTCCATCACTGAGGTTTCATTCGGGGTTATAAACTCGGGGGCTACGTCGTTTATGTCCAGGAGGACCATTGTTACCTTCGAACAAAAGAATACATTCAACACTTGGGAATTACACCATTTTTAGGGTGCACTGGGGGCCTAGTCTCAACTCATGGGAAATTTATTTCCTGAACGGAACGTAATCCGTAGAGGAATTAATGATTTGTTGATCACTTCCGGTTAGGAATTTTTAATTCGTGAGGGAAAATCGATTCCAGTCAACAGATTACTGATAATTACTCTGTGCATGAAATAATTGGAATGGAGACATTTTTTAATTGAGGACTGAATAGTTTTCTTCATTATTTTTCACAACGATTTTCACCCGCTGGCAGGGATGATATTAAAGTGAAATTTTCCGCGAATCCGTGAAAATGCAAGGAGAGAAAAATACAGGAATAAATAGGTGACTAGCCACGAAAACTTGGGCTGAAGAATTATCTCAGTAATTTTTATTTGAAATCGTAAAAAATGAGAGAGGATCAGTGAATTTTATTATATGCTCCGAATAATTTACGGTATTCTCACGTATTTTTTTCTCAACTCGTAAAACGAAGTTTGAAGTTTTAAGTGAAACGTCGAAGAACGCAGGGATTACTCAACTTCATGTGAATCTTACGTGACTAGAACTGTACTATTTATTTCCATGACACAATGACAATAAACCTCTGGCGCATGGGTAACCCTTGCCTGACAGGGCAGAGATCGTGAGTTTCCATTCTTGTTAGGATAAAAAAAAAACGGTACACTAAATTTAACGGAACGGTTTACGTTTACTCTTGAAGCAGTAATCTTTTTAAATTTTTTACTTAACTTCATGTACTCGTTCCAGTATTTTTCTCTCCCGATAATAAACCATGAGAATACCAGAAAATATATTTTCTTTCCATTTCCTGACACCTATTCCTAAGCCAATGTCATATCTAATAATTTTTTTTCCATTTAACAATCATAATCTATAGTATAATACGACATTGCACTCATTACTCGGCAAGAAACAGTTTTCCCTCTCCCATGCACAACCCACTGAACCCTAATTAAGGAAATACCTGAACAGTTGATGTGAGTGGTTTAGCAGGTGACACTGGACAATCTCTCGCTCTGATAACAAGATTATAAATAGCCCTGTCCTCCCGGTCGAGTTGTTTCCTGGTGAAGAGAGTGCCATTCTCAGCGATCCCAAAATCCCCATCATCATCACCACTCACAATGTCATAAACGACCCGACCATTGTCACCGGAGTCAAGATCCTGGGCGATCACCGAGAGTACAGCAGTACCAATTGTCGCATTCTCAGGTACTTCACTGCCATGTGGACCCGGCTCGAATACCGGTGCATTGTCGTTCAAGTCAACAACATTGCAGTAGACCGTGACGGTAGTTGATAATGCTGGTACCCCAGAATCAGTTGCCTGTACAACGAGGATGTAGTGCTGGACCTGCAATCCAAGGAAAAACCCGTTTTCAAATTATCGTACATTCAGCAACACCAGCATCTACAACCCCTTGTAAATGAACTCGAGTAACGACAGTGCGATCAGCCTGAGAAAAAAAAAAATAATGAACAAAAAAGAGAGGGGGGATTTCAATAGCACCAAGTCGTCTATTTAAATTGCCAATAAACTCAAGGACTTTATCTATCCCATGCTGTGGTTTTTATTTTTTTATCATTCACTACAATAAACACTAATTCAGTGGAAATATTGACTGGTTGAAGACCAGTTGCTGAATCGCACGGATATACCATAGCCCCCGGGATAAATTCCATTCGCACACGCCATTTGTCTTTTCTCCAAAAAAGGCTAGCTATGATTTATGCATTGATTTGGGATGATAAATTAATTGATTGATGATGTGTCGAACCATCAAAGCCGGTGGATACACGCTCCAAGCGGCTGACCATTTTTTTTTTCTCTTTTCCATTAGAGAGATGGAAAAACAATCAATTGTGGGGGTAAATTATTCATAAATTCGAGTACATTGTATCACTCGTTTATCAATTTTTGTGCCCACTGAGACCGACATAAATATTCTTTATTTACTCAGCAATGGAGTTGTGGGGAATACCAGTTGCTGAAAAGTGTGAACGATATTACGCTTTGGGGTTTGCTGATGTTATTTTTCGTTCTGCTTCAGACCTGGGGATTGAAAGAAACAGGAGGAAACAACGATGAAATTTTAGGATGTGAAGAGGGTGTTTACGATGAGTGGGGCCCAATGTGAGTCCTCGATCAGAGCTGAAAGAGTTATTCCAGACCCAAAAAGTCACATGGGCCTGACAACGTTTATACAAAATTACTCCTCCAAGTTATTTTGAATATTCAGAAATCAGTAGCGAATGCGATGTACATCAAAAAAAAAATAATAAAAATATTCAGTGATTTAATGACTGATAAATAAAGTCGACGAAATTGTACACCTGTTGATTTATCGCGATCGACGGTCGAAATATTGTTTATTTACCCAGAAATGGAGTGACGTGGAACACCAGTTGCGAAATTGTGTAAACGATATAACAGCTCTGGGTTTGCTGATATTTTTTGTGATGTTATATTTGCACGTGGATTGAGAAGAGAGAAGAGGAAGCGAACGATAAAATTTGAAAATGTTCAGAGAGTGTTTACAACTGGTGGGGCCCAATATAACTCAGCAAAAAAAAAGAGGTGAACGAAAATTATTTGGGGAAAGAGTAATGTCAAAGTTGTGAAGCGTCATCCATTGAACTCTATACTTAGAGGACTTTTACAAGGATCGATTTTGTTTAGCGAAGGGAGGTGTGTGCCTCCTGAAGAAGTGTTATACCGTGTTATTTTTCAAGAGTGAAGATGGAACAATTTTTGAGGGTTTCACATTCGTTTTATTCTTATTGTGGTGCACCGGTGGGTTATCGTTTTTTGCCAATGGCGTTCCTTGAATGTATCCACTATTTCATGGGCTCCAACAGCCGAACCAAGTCAGTAATCTTGGGTGTATCTGTACGGACGTTTAGCTTGATGAAGGGTTCTATAAACGGTTCTTAAAGCTCCTCACTATTTCTCATTCCTTTTCATCTAAAACTCCAATTCCTCGTCTCACTCCTGTTTTTTTTTTTCTCCACCTCGAAAAGTTGAGTTCCATTGGCCTTTTTCATCATTGGTGGAGTTTCGATGTTGGAACGCAATGCGGTGCGTTCACCCTTTCACGCACGCAAAAACCTCGACTCCACTTTCTTGGGTTTTGCGAGAGAGTGAGAGAATTTAAACGAGATGAAAGGGGAGAGGATGAAACCATGCAGACGCTATTCGTCTTCCTCCCTGTTCTCCTGTTGTCCACTGGGGTTTGCCCCGGTACACTGGCATTAGCCATCAGAAAATTCTAGGCTCGCTCCGGTCTCATTTTCGTTTGTTGCCTCAAAAGCCTACGGTATATAATGATTCCAGTGCGCCCTGAAAAATTTCGACAAAGTTTTTTGAGCCCTCGGGGGCTACCGAGGTATACACCCTGCATTTCGGCTCACCAAACTCAACGCCAGGTCGTATCTTTTACGGTCTCTTCATTCATTGCTCAGGGAAGTAGAAGGCGGTGAATTCACGCCAGGTCAGAGAAAAATCACGTTTGTCGAGTCATTTAATCGTGAACATTGCCATAAATTTGTTTTAGGGCTTTTGAACGCCCGGCTTTAAATCCTTGTTCACGTCTTAATGTACGGATTCTCAAATTAGGAATATTCCTCAGGGATGGAAGAAATTTATGGAGGACAGGGAGCTCCATGAACCTTTTATAAATTCCCATTCTTCAAATCACCGATTTCTTTAAATTACCAATTTTCCTTTTCCTAATCCTTTTCCAAGTTTTCTTATATTTCGGTTGTTAATTGTTAATAATTTTATCAATTGAACAGGCGTAAGTATTTTTACACACGAATTTGTTCTTCAGATGATTCTACGGTCAGACAATTTTGAAACGAGAATGCGTTTTCTGTTCGGGTATAATCAAGGGCCAATTAAGAGTATGTCTGGGTTTAGCCGGTATTTAACCTCGGTTTAGTCAGGTGTTAGTGGGTATCATGATCTAATAACAGTAGGCACATACCTAAACTCAATAGAAATGAAAATTCCTCAAAGAAGTACCTGATATTGTTGTAAAATACGACAAGCAATGATTATAAATATTCCACGGATCATTACACAGTTTGTCCATTAAAATTCATAATGATATCGAATTAAAAAAAATGATCTTACCTGTTCATAATCAAGACTAGAAGTGAGAGTAAAGACGCCAGTGGTTGGATTCAAGGAGAAGACATCATTAGCCCAATCCGAAATAAGTGCATAACTGATTTGGCTATTGGGTCCATCTCCATCAGCATCAACAGCGACGACTTGTCCAAGTCGACTTCCCCTGGGTACATTCTCAGGTACATCGAATGAGTACGCCATTGACTGAAAGACCGGTGCATTGTCATTGGTGTCTGTCACCTGAAGCAAAAAAATAAAATCCATATTTTTCATTAAAGCAAACAATCCCAGTGTTGTGTAATTGTGATAGAATAGCCAGTGAAAGAAGTGGGCTTGACCGTTATTCTCTAGGCTGACGAGGGGGCATTTCCGATTAACAGTCTCGAGTTGTACGTGATACTGTAATGAAAACGGTTGCCATACGGTTTGTCCAATGCCAGGATGGGCTCCAGCAAAAAGATACTCTTGTAATGATAAAAAGAGGATGATGAAGAGGTGGAGGAGGGGGCGATGACGGGAGAAGAGGGACACTTGACGACGTTTGGTATAGTTGGACAAAAACTAGCACAGGTACCTGATGGATACCGGTCGAGCCATGGGGAGGCATGTATTCTTCAAGATGGAAGAGGTGAACGGTTCAAGGAACGAAGAGTGCAGGCCTACCCAAACGTGGATGATCGACAAAGGTATAAAGGTATAGTAGAATTCCAAGGTGGACTTAATATGTCGGGTGTCTGTCTCGGACTGTTGGCCACATTGGCCCGTTGGTGAGAGAGAGGACGAGCTATGATTCGTGAATTCCTCGTGCCTTTTAAGAGAAACGAAAAATGACTCGAACGGTGGGGCGAAGAGGAGGGGTCAATATTCTCCTGGAGGCCCCCCAAAGAATTCAAGCCATTAGACATCATAAAGACTATTTTTGTGGATTGTCGGACGGTCCTCATGGGCTCGTTAAAAGAGTATTTATTTAGTTTTTTCGGTGGTTGGCGTTTTATATGGGAATTTGAGAGAGTGTGAGAGAAAACAAGAGGATTATTTTTGATGTCTCTCGTGGAGGTGAAGCAACGATATGCCAGCGAAGTACCCCGCGACCCACGCGACTCCTCGCACCCTCAGGGGGATCAACCGAGAGGTCACGCGCAACTTCCTGCTCTAGTCGTATACCCAGTGCACACCAAGTGCACACCAAGTGCACGGGGATGCCGGGGATGCCGGGGGTACTGGTGACCATGGGTAACTCGTAATTTGTGATGGCTTTACCGTTCGATTTTTTTTAATACCCGACTTAAGTCTTTGAGTTATGAGAGAGGGTTGGACGGGAGCTTTTTTTTCTCTTCGTGAGGGGAGAGCTCTCGCTGAGACTGCAAGATAAATTCACCTAGGATATTAGCTATTGTTCGTGTGGTGATTATTTGTGGGTCTTTTATTTGATTGTTTAGGTTTATTATTTTTCGTTGCAACTCACCTGGACAATTAGATGAATATCGGTGTGTTGGATTCCATCGTCGGCGCGAACCCTCAGTACATATTTCTCCTTGGTTTCTCTGTCAAGTGCTTCAACCAGTCTCAACTGTCCGGTTACAGCGTCCAAACGAAATTGCCGATCCACTTGATTGCTCTCAACGTCATTTCCAGTGTCCTCTTCATCAATTAGTGATTTTTTATTCAACGATACTAATGTGTATCTGAGGGTACCAATTGTATCGGGATCTTGGGCTTTTAATACAGTCACTACTGTACCCGGTGGCGCCTCCTCGGACACCTCAAATCGCCATGGCCCCGGCATCCATGAGGGTGCCACGTCGTTTTTGTCGAGGACCGTTACACGAACCTGTAATCAAATTTAACGTCATTTTATTCAACGTCGTAATAAGAAAATGAATTAAGTACTGGGTACCACCATTCCACCCATTCCAAGACCCTTATCTCACATTTTTCCTGATTATTTGTCCACACACGCGAGAATTCAGTTTGAATTAACATTCAGGTTAACAAATATGATTAATCAATTGTCCATTGATATATCACGAAGAATTTTTTGTCGTATTGGTTTATTTATCGTGGCGTGAAATCTTTTGTTCACAGATTTTTTCGGCTGTTTCTAGGGGTTCCTTTTTATGCTGATTCTCAACACCGACTCTGCATCATTCTTTCTCCACTCTATTTCATGGCTCTTCTTTTTTCCTCTTTTTCGCTCAAACCACTCGGGAATTCACTACGAGACCTTATTTATTACGCGAGTGAATTACGCCCGGCAAAAGAATATTTTTTTCGGTCACGCAAGAGTTGGCGTTCTCTTGCGGCGCGCCAAAATACTCGGTCACGCGATTTCTATAAATATTTATTGAAGCCGGTAGCAATGGTAAATCATCGAATTTTCAGATGAATTTTTGGTGATTTTGTCGTCTTATATTCCCCCAGCCCTCAAATTTTATCATCTATTTAATTAGTGAAAATATATGTAGGAACTTCTTCGCAGGTGGCGAACAGGCAGAAGCTAGACATTTTCCCGAATTCCCACGTGAGGAAGAGATAAAACGTTAAAAATTGTTAAACAATTTAATTACAGGGAGTAAAAAATTCTCCATCTCACGAAAGAATGAAAATATCCAAAAAAAACAATCTCTAAATAACATGATCCTTAAAAGGTCATGTTTTTTAATTAATTAACGCAAAATATTTGAGGGTTATTTCTTCCCTTAATTAGTCCATTTTTCGTGATTTATCCTTGACAAGAGTCTGAATCAGCGATCAAAAAAAAAATCTTCAGTCAGCCATTGGAATGGTGTTACCTCCTCCAATCTTCTACCTTTTTTGTTAATAACATCCATTAACGAGTCACGACACTAATACCTCTGTATCAAGAAAAATTCAGCCATGAACTCCACAACTCGCCGCATAAAAACGTTTGCCGGATTCGTATAATTACTTCGCTCGATTACGTGAGACAGGAGGAGGTAATACGTGAATCGCGATTTGGAATGACTCTTCGCTTTACACTGCGTTGAAATCTTTCGGCTAAAGGGGGAGTAGAGGGGGAGTAGGGGAAGGGGGATAAAAAACCCCACGTGCACACACGGGGTAGAGAAGTAACAGTGCATTGGAAATAACGAGATACACACACATAAGGCGGTCGTTATCTCCAGCGCTTTATCTCGAGCCCCATCCATTTCAAGAGTTTAACTTTCCGCGGATATTTATTTGACTGGAAAAAAAAATAAATAAATGGTAACCACACGTTATTGTATACCATCGCGGTAAGACACTAATGCAACGAACTTGCCTTGACATTTCAGGGATTTTTCTGGGATTTTTCTGGGATTTTTCTGGGATTTTTCTCTGTACAAACTCATGGTTTTCACATGAATATCAGGACATTTTTTCGTTTTTTTTAATTTCGCGCCGTCCCGGGTAAAAAAATTGTAATCGGAATATTTTTTCCAAATTTTCCAAAAATTTCTGGAAAAAAAATTTATTTTCATCAATTTTCGAAAAAAAATTTATTTTCATCTGTCAATTGAATTGAGTATTTTTTTTGGACTGTCGAAGAGATCCGCTACTCAGAACTCATGAATTTTCCGGAGAATTTTCCCAAAAAAATTTATTTTCATCGATTATGAAAATAATTTTTTTTTCGAGAATCGATGAAAAATTTTTTTTTTTCAAAAATCGATAAAAATATATTTTTTTGTGAAAATTCTCGGGAAAACTCGTGAGTTCTGAGTAGCGGATCTCTATCACTCCAAAAAAACACTGATTTTAATTGAGAGATGAAGATCAATAAAAACAATTTTTTTCCAGAAATTTTTTGAATATTTAGAAAAAATATTCCGATTACCATTTTTTTCCCGGGGTACTACTTGCCTACTTGCCTTTTCATTAAAATTATGTAATTAGATCTACACGACATATGGCGTATGTTCCGCTTACGTAAATTCCTTTATTTTATAAAGCGATAACGATTTATCAAAATTTTTCTGTTGTACCCCCATTTTTGTTTGCCTTTTCCTCATTGAACTTTTCTCCGCAATTTTTTGTCATGAAAAAAAAAAAGGATTTTGGAATATTCAACACGGAGAGAAATATTTAGTAAAAATTACGGAACTTTCAGTTCACTTTCCGATTACTGAGTTGATTCGACAAATTTAAGTGACGGTATTGTTATTTTTCACTGACAATTCCGATAAAAATTACGGAACACCGTGTAAAAATTCTGTGACTCTAGATAAAAATTACGTGACAGTTCCGTAAAATTTCCGACAACCACATTTCGCTCCAGAATTACGGAAAATACCCGTAATTTTTATTGAATATTTCTCTCAGTGAAGGGGAGGAGACAGAAAGAGAGGAGTGATAAATAATTCTAATTGATGAACTTTTGTAATCGCGTGTTGGGTATCGAAAATTTAATAGTGGCCATCACATTCCTCTGTCGTAAAATATAAAACTTCAATGTTGTTGACCGGAAAATGTGTCGTCATTAGTTATATCTCCATTTCCGTGTTCTGGTTGATGGAATGATTAGAGAGAAGTTTTTCCGTGTTGTTCATGAAATGCCCAGGACACGGGCTGTTCCTAGAAAGCCAGTAAACGGCACCTGTTGCGCCTCGCGATGTACCGTGTGTTATATATATTTACTATATATGTGGTATACGGTAGAAGAGGGCGAGAGGAAGAGGATTGGAGGGAATGGGGCCCCCGAGACGGAACGCCCAAACGATTGATCGAGGGTCCCAAAGTGAGTCCCGGATTCCAGTGGACTTAGGACGAGAGAGAGAAAGAGAGAGAGAAGTGAATGTCGGTCTTGACTCGTGTATTTCAATCTTATCTCATCGGGATGATCAACGAAATATTATAACATATATCGTTTGTCGCCCGGTTACGGGCAATAAAGTGAAACCGAAATCATTAATTCAATATTAATTATTTTATTGTATTTTTTTTCTCTCCCTCGTTTCTCCCTCGTGCTTTACGAGTTCCCCTGGGCCTAATTAAAAATCTACGAGAGGTTAAAGAATATTTCCCCGAAATTCCGATCGATTTATTGACTTGTCGCTGTGTTTATTTGAGAATCATGAATAAATTACCGGTGATTTTTATCTATTCGTACGGTTGGTCGTCGATAAAAATTTGTGACTGGTGAATGCGAAGGAAAATGAAGGATGAGGGGGTGGCAGGGTGGGAGGGTGTCAGGGCGGCAGGGTGGTAGGGTGGAAAGGTGGTAAGGAGGGGGATATTTGATTCTCGTTAATGATTCGATCTCCGGCATAACCAACACGCGCATGATCGGATATGTAGGAGAAACGAGGGCTTGAGAGAGTAAAAAAAACATCGGGTGGTATAAAAGTTGTGCACACGCGGGGTTCTTGACTACTTTTGCTGGAGTCTCTATCTCTGTTGGTTAAGGAAAAACCGGTTGGTGTGCCACCACCATCGGAAAGACTCCTGCACACTGGAGTACCTGGGGAATCCTGAAGTGGAGCGTGGTGGAAACGACGCCTCATCCTCACTGGTAATCGCCTCGGCGCCGACTCCTCCACAAGGATTCCCTCTTTTTCCTCCCACCCGTCACTCCCCCACCTCAACGCCATTTTATCCCCCCTTTTATCCACCGAGTCACCGAGATCGCGGAAGTGATACACCAACAGATGAGATTCGAATCTTCACTTTTTAAAACGACGAGAGTGACGTCTTGTCATTTTTATCGGGCTATAAAAATATTTTTCGCGGAGATTATTAAAAAAAATTTGGTGATGGCTTTTTTGGGTGTCGTAAGGTGCTCCCCCTGGACACAAATTCCTTCTACGTGCTCTAAAGGATTTTTATGCCTGTGTTTTCTCTGGTGCTTTTTTTTTTTAGGACAGTGACATGAAGTTATGTTTATTAAGTCGTAAAAAAATACAAAGTATTGATTTACGGCTTTTCATTCATTCTCTGGGACAAAACAGTCGGAAAGTTCGTTGAAGTTTTTGTCTGGTGACCAATCCCCTTTATTCCCCTTTACTCCCCTTCACTCCCCTTTACTCCCCTTTACTCCTCTTCACTCCCCTTTACTCCCCTTTACTCCCCTTTACTCCCCCTCATTCCTTAATTATTCTCTTTTATTTTCAGTTTTATCTCGTCCTTCCTCATTGGAGTTTATTTCATTCGGTGGATCTAGTTCAATAGGTCATCTCACCGAGGCAAAAACTTTATAATGATAACATGAAAAATATCGTATAAAAAGTTTTTAAAAATTGATGTATAAATATCAATGATCAGAAAACCAGTAGCCTTTCAGATATAGATTAATAAATAAGAATGATAACTGGTAAGAAACTGATAAAGATCATAACAACATATTCTCGATAATAAGATTTTTAATTTTCTGGAACATTTCCTCTGAAAAACTCCCGATTAACTTTCATTCCATTTACACTAAAAATATGAAACTTCAAGAAAAGAAGTTCCAGTCGATTAATTCCCGAGCTTCATCAGTAAAAAATGCAAATAAATTTCCCACGATCGCAATTCGATTTCCGAACTTGTCAATAATCTCCAGACAATAATCATAGATAAAAAAAATAGCGAACAAAAGTGGGAATAAATCCTCGAGAAGAGTGGCGAGCGCGGTAAATCAGTGATGTTAAAAAAAAAATTCATGTAAACTGAATTTTTTGCCTGATTAATCGTAATGAATGTAAATCCATCGGCTTTAAAGTCACATTCCAGTGGCCATGTGGGGGGTCCATATACAGGACATATTCACATACATGCGGATGGGTGTCAACGAGTGAACCGCAAGAGTGTACAGGGCGGCTCGTTGCTCATACACACCAAAACGTTAATGTA